TCCGATAGTCCATATATTCAGTGTAATGTCTAATCGGTTGATTTCGGTAGCATCGCTACTTTTGCTATTAGTTAGAGAAATGGGAAAATCAGCAAAAAGACAATGTCCAGTCCGTGTTGTGTGCTCTGCTAGCTTTGATTTTTGAAGTCAGCAGCCTCCGCAGGTGCTTTGCTGCTCAGTGAGCCTTTGTAAAATGGGGCGATAAGTCTTTCCAACATAGACACGAACACATGAACGCATTAAGTTATAAAACCTGGTTTGGATGATGCGTCAACGGCTGGTCAAGAGGAATCCTTCGCAGTCTTCTGGTGGGATCGACCTTCGAATCTCTTCCCCAACACAATTTCGCTTGAAATGGAAGTGAGCTCAACACTAAAATGTCGATGCTGGAGTAGCTTTCACTTTGTTTTGAAGAGGTGAGTAGAAGGGGTTCGTAAGTTGGTCTCACCATAATCTGTATGGGGATTGTCTTGGAACTGTGATTGTAGATTTGTGCGAATAGGTCCTCGGCGCACCGCCCTGCAGCCCCGATGAATCCTTGCTGAGCTTTGGTCCGTCATGTGACGGACATCCTCAGAGCAGGACACCACTCTTGACGATAATTGACCAAAAACACGAAGACAAGAAGGTCGGCCAGCTTCAAGCCTACTTCCTTCCAACAGTCCAATTTGGTCCACTTAGACATCTCATGTTTCGGTTGGATATCGCATGTTTTGCCAAAATGTTTGCCCAAAAGTGAAGTTAAGTGGCTGCGTATGAAGCGAGCAACGAGTTCAATTGTGACCGAACAGCTGCACCCTCCGCGAAAACACGTGGGCCTTTGATCTTGCACTGTTGCTGCGTGTGATTGCGTCCCATTGTACACGTGTTGTGTGAATGCATTGCTCTTAAAACGAGTGTGATTTCAGAGTGAAAACCACATTTCAGCCGAATCAAGCCGCCTCCTCTCGCTCGATGCCACTTCCAGTTCCCCTCTCGAAACCCATCCGACAGCCACAAGTCGTTTCAGCTTAACTTCCTGCACTCATTCCTTCTATCCTCCAATTTTTCGCTTACTCTTTGCTAAATGCCCCAAGTCCAGCTAAGCGTCTGGCATTAGGCCAATCTATCTGCTGTCCTGTGCGGAGCATGTGTTCGGCCAATTCCGATTTTTGGGCTCACATACCCTTGCAGGCTGTGTTGTGATCGGATAACCTGTTCTGCACGGGCGTTCAGGCTTCTTCCACAAAGGCGCTACCACATGGATACAATTTCTTGCAACAGCCCGATCCGGAGAGAGGGTCAGAATGTTCTCGAAAAAAGGCAAGACTGAGACACACAATCAAGTGGACCAAAATGGACTATGAGAAGTAGATAGGTTTGAAGGCCGCCACCTTTCTTGTAGTCGCGTTTTGGTGAATTATCGTAAATCATGGTGGCCTGCTCTGACAATGTCCGTCGCATGACGGACGTAAGCCCAGCAAGGATTGATCGGGGTCGCAAAGCGATGCGCCGAGGACACATTCGCCCAAATCTACCATCACAGTCCCAAGGCAATCCCCCTCCAGCTTCTGGTGGTGGGACCAACTGACAAACCGCTTCCATTCGCCTCTTCTAACGAAGTTAAATCTACTCCTACATCAATCTGTTAAGTGATTTTTCGAAACCCAGGTTTTCTACATACCAAAATATAGGCCGAAAAGAGTCCAAGTTGGTGGCTCCAGGCTGATAAATGAATGATTTTTATTTAAGGCAATGGTGGAAGTTGGAGCTTTACATTCCCGAATCATGTATCAACATGTAACTTTGTCTTTCCCACAGTATAGGCTGATCATTTTTCCAGTGGTTGATTGATGTTAACTAGTCCATATAGTTTGCGTGCCTAACAGGCTCTGAACAGACAAAATCCATTGCTATGCAGCAAATGCCTATTCCGAATGTATGAACTTTAAGCCGCTTTTGTAGGAATGTGATAAGTTTGCAATTGAGAAAAGTAGCCCATGGGAAAGTCATTCCGAAGAGCATGGGTAGGCTGTGACTGCTTCAGGAAACTGTAAATTCTGGTCATCCACGATCCGGTTGGTTCCAGGTAGGATACCTCTTCCTAATGCATCAGATGTGCCCAATGAAGAATGTGAAGTCCGCAAA